CTCTCTCTCTCTCTCTCTCTTTCTTTCTCTCTACCTCTGTCTTTCTCTCTCTCCTTCTGTCTGTTGATAATTTCTGCTGTTGAGATAAGATTTTTTTTTTGGGGGGGGCAGGCAGGGTAGTCACACGTTGGGATGTTTCCTTTATTGGCAGCATCATCTCCCTGTACAGGGTTATTGTCAATCCTTTCACAGTTATTGCCAATGTCAAATCTCTGACTAGAAGATCGGTATGCCTGCCGTAATCCTATTACTTTTGAAGGAATAATAGGTCCATTGATTATGCAATGTTGACGAATGCTAAAGTAACTGGCACCTTGTATAGTTAATAAGTACATTACCTTATAGCCAAATGCGTATTAGTTTGTCCAATATCACTGCTGGTTGCTAAGAAATGTCTAATTGAAATCCGCAGTCCAAAAATTAGTTGTTTACAGTTTCAAACCGCTGCCGGTGAAGCGGGTGTGATACAGATTTATAGTGCAACGGACATTTTCGCACGCATGCTCAGCCGTACGCAATGCTATCATCAGTGATTTTGTAAACATGGATGCTTGTGATAAGGAACTTTTTGTCAAGGCTGTCCACGTGCGTCCGTGATTAGTACGTGTGTTTTACTCTATTTTCATGTTTAGTCCGTGGGCGTGGTTACACCGCTGACACTTCCGTTTCATCTGGCGTCCAAAACATACGGGCTGCACAAATGTTTACGTCATCGCTTGACTTCTGGATGACATTTACGTCACGTAAATGATACGTTGATACATATCAACAACCGATTTCAAGTCTTGTTTGTAATGTAACCAGCAGTGATATTGGACAAACTAATACGCTTTTTGGCTATAAGGTAATGTACTACACAAGGTGCCAGTTACTCTAGCATTCGTCAACATTGCATAATCAATGGACCTATTATTCCTTTAAGTCTTGAATACTTTCTTGAAGTTGCGTGACTTTTCAATACCGGTGTAAACATTACGAAGGTCCGATGCACCTAACAAAATTCCTACTGGTTTATAAATTCAGGTGATTTTACCTGAATTTTCTATATGTTGTTTGGAGATTGCGCGCATGTCTCGGCATGATAGGCTGTAGCCTATTGGGTTATAGGCGTTCATTATCAGATCTCTTATATTAAGTGTTTGCTTCAATTATTTCTCTTCTTCTCTGCATCATCTGTGAGCGAATATCCGTGGTTTTATAAGACTGGCCACTGTACCGACGTCAGCCAGCCTGGTGATTGGCCGCATAATTTGCTTCTTCGTCAAGCGTCCGTTAGGCTTGCAAATGATTCTTGCAGGATGATTTATTGAGTGGTTGGAAGCTTGTGGCGGCTGCTTTCCTCGTGCATGATTGGTGTGAGCGTGACGAGGGAGGGGCGGTCGCGGCAAACCCGCCACATGTATTTAATCGTTAGTATTTACAGGTACTATTATAATGTGTATAGATCATTTTTTTATCATAAATGTAATGATGTGTACGTGAGGGCATGCTCTACAGTGACTCGTGACACTCGACATTAGAGACAGTTGACGTTGACAGAGACAGACAGAAGACAGAGTGACAGAATAGTAGAGCCAGAGTAGAAGCCCATGTTATCAGTCTCACTGCTGGTAGTAATGGTGATCATGTCTGTTCACCTCATTGATCGAAATAGCTGAGCATTTTATTCTCCTCCGATTCATGGATTCATCGCGAAGGTTTGACCTGCTTCAATATATGGCTATTTATTGATCATTAGCCTACATGTGAACATGTAGAGTGTTATAATCACACTTTTTATAGAGTGGAAGCTACTAGTTAAAATTTAAGCAAGTTCCCTATTTAGTGGCAAACTTCCCTCCACTCGTATAATGCACGTATCGTTATCTGTAGGATTTTAATTTACGCTTGCTAACTTATTACTGTTTATTGTAAAGTAGACATAGCATTTGTGTTTGTCATGCGCTTAGTTATTGTAGCCTGAAAATCGCAATAGATCAATTTCTTCGATATGTAAAACTCGTCCCCATGTGCATGGCATCACCATCTGTCATAAGCAGCTCAACGTCCTGTTCGTTTGCTCGTGATTTACGTGTGTGTATACGTGCGTGTTCGTGCGTCAGAGTGGCTACTGCTATTATACACGGCGGTTATCGCCTTTCTTTTCTATCGTTGCTAAGCGTGGCGCCTCCTGTCGTCGGGGCTTCCTGTTGCTGCCGGCGACAGTTTCGTCTCTCAACGAATCGACGCCCTGATCACGTGATGTGCCAAACAAGAGTGCGTGCGCTGACAAGACACGTGGCTCTGCCCGTGTTGTGACACGGGATAGGGTGTGGTCTAGGTGGGCAAGTGAGTGATGAAGGAAGTAGGGGAGATGTGAGAGAACATGCCCGCCCTCTGGTGGCTAGGCGGGTGTTCCCCGGCGCGGTGAGCTTTAGTTCCCTCTGAAACAGCTTACTACCGATCCTGTACGTGTCATCGTCGTGCATCGCGAAACACGCTCAATGCCTGCGCAGTACAGGCGCCGCCATTGTAAAACTCCACATCGTAGTTCAATAAAACGCATTCATACATATAGCTCTTGTATTGGCGTCAGAATTTATTTTATTTTATTTAAGTCTGAATGGGATCAATCGTTTTCGTACAAAAATCAAACTGCCCTGACTTATGTAACATGTATTTCTATCGAATTCTACTCCTTCCATAATAGTTCTTGCTAAATATAGCTCTCTAAAAGATTATTATTATGATAAATATTAGGTAAAATTATATCGTGAACTAATAAATCCCTCATAAAGTGGGCTTATACTAATGTGGGCGATTATTTATTCTGAAAGCAAACTAGTTTAATATTTGAATTGCATCTCCAAAGAACAACTACTAACTAGTTCACTTGCCATACACAACTCAAGCTTGATTACTTACAAATTATTAATGACTATAAAGTACAGTACAGACAAAATAAACTCACCATAAATATTACACTATATAATTAATAAGAGCCTATTTATTATTAGAATAATTAATATGCTCTTGACACAATGAACGACCGATTAAAATGAAATAGAATCGCTAACAAAGGGTGTCACCGTGTCCCGTCAATGCTGCATCGTCGTTACTATGACAACGGCTACCATTGTTACCCGTCAGTGCTGCATTACCATGGCAATGGCTGTCATTGTGACCCATCAATGCTGCATCATGGTTACCATGACAACAGCTGTCAGTGTGACTCTTCAGTGCTGCACCATCAGCACCACCTGTGAGCAGATTTCAAATCACTCACGTGCTCGCACACAGTACACTGAACCTGTATAACCTACTTGCCGATATGAGGGGGAATCTATATTACAATACTACGAGTTATTATCCTTCGTCCAATCAAACATGTCTTAATTCATGACGTAGCACACGGACAGATATGCTGTCGACCAGCGTAACATTAAAAACTTGGCCATGACAGGAGTACACGCCATGGCCCATGCCTCGTGCAAGAAGCATGAGCTAGTGATGTCGCCGTCATTTTTAGACTAGTGTAGACATGCGGACACATGCTCCTACCTCTGATAAAGCAACCACCTATACTAAAAATCGTTCACTCGTTTACCAGTAGCACCAGCACCATTGAAAGTCAACGTTAGACTGTTTACATAGAAACAGGTTCCACGCGGTTTGGTCTAGTTTCCGTCACCTTATCACCATCCAACATTATCCCACTCTGCTACAACACTGCAAAGCGTTTGACGAATTAAAACGCGAAAGAATACGCACATATCGATGTATGTGTACAGAATAAATTCTATCACAACATGACTTAACAGGACAGAAGTGGTCATGATAAAGGCTACATTGTATAATTTTAACTGTAGACCATGAAACAATAAATATCGAAAATGAAATGTACGATTCACCTCCCGACAATAAATACTACGTTAAGGTTTGGCTCCATAATATTCACGAGGCGCCACATATGATATGGAAAATAATACTACTATGTAAATCATACAATGACTGATGATAAATTTAGACCAGAAGCTGATGACCATGTCGGCACACACGACAGGCACGATTGCAGAAATTAACCGATCAATCACCCATCTGTCGCGTTATCTGAGGTTAAATCAACCCTCCTCCCTGGATCGAAACGACTTTTCTGCGGGTAACGCAGTGCGATCGTGGCGGGGAACATGGCTGACACCCATGCATCACCACGCACACTCACGATGAGCCTCCTATAGCTCACAGGCGACACGGAAACATCCCAAACTTATCCAGACATCTGCACAAACAATACAAACGTTTCCTGCATCGTCGCCCGGGAGGCATGGTGACCCAAGGCGGGCGCACGCCGTCGCCCCCTACAGCCACGACTACAAGTGTCTGATGGTGTTGAGACGCGGGGGAACGCTGTTGATGCCGTGATGCAGCGATCCGCCGTAACCATCCGCGTCGTCGGCGTCATCGCTCCACCGCCCGTTGCCGTGGTTACTGCCTAGCAGGTGCTCGGAGTCAAGGTCGAGGCATCGGGTCGGGAACGTGACGCCATCGCCCATTCTGAGACAGAAACGACATCAATCAACACGATGCTCCCTTCCTGCGGCGGAGAAAACTCCGAGAGACACGCGAGCACGCAAACAGAAAAGCTTTCTGGGATGGGTCGAACGTTTAGATGTTGAGGTTCCATGTTTGTCGTTTCATATAGGTATGAAAGTTTAGACGTCGTTTGGCATCGCCAGATTTCCGCTCTGTTATGAAAGCTTTCAATGCTACAGTCTGTGGTGCGTGGGAATGAGAGAGCAATCATGTGCGCGCGAGCCACTCACGCTGTGAAGATGGGCAGACACATTATCTCACGCTGATCCCCAAACACCTCCTGGAAGTTTGCCTTCACGCCGAGGTTGAATCCATGAGGGTCCGGGCCCGTCGTGAACATGGGTGTGCGGAACGACTCTACAACACAGACGAAACGCGTTACCTCGGGGCTAAATGAAAAATACGGGCAAGATAAGAACAGCCATAGATATATTCTCTCACACGATTTCCAAGACTGTTACATCTCTGTTACTTAGATTGATGTCTACTGTTATCAGACACCGGTGCAGGATGGCCATCCATCTGTAAAAGACGCTTTCGGCATTTCCGTTCAGTGGCAGTCACGCACTTTAACCACGTCTACAGAACAGGCATCTCGTCGTGATTCCATAAGACACCTGATCAACGCAAAGGCAACACTCATCTTATTAGTGTTTAGCTTCGGGCGTCACCGACTCACCGAGCGTGGACTTGTTTCGCGACGTCAGGAACAGGTGGTAGCCAAAGAGGCAGACAAGACTGATGGCAAACAGCAGACCAAGGAAGAAGAGGAACATGATCTGAAACTCCGCAGCCCCGCGAAAACCGACCTGCAACGAGAATGAGTGCGTGAGAGAGGGAGCCACCGCATTGTACACCCGCGGTAAGCAGTACGGTGCAGCATGATGGCGTAACGATTAACTTACGAACGCACGCATAAACACACGCCTGCATTCACCCACTGCACGCACATACGCACACACAGTTGACACATAACTTACATTAAATAGCTGGAGAAAATACGGCATACTGGTGAATGCCACGTAGAGGCAGTAGAGAATGCCATAGCCAAGGAAGAGCACAAAGAACTTGTAGTTTGAGAAATTCACGCAATTGTTCACCCTGGAAATGCAGAAATCAAGAAGCATCATTAGGCCAAAACAAAATATAGGTGTGATTACCGTTTCCCGACCGACACTATTTATTCCCAGCGACCCTAAACATTTTATTGTCAATTTTCTTTAAAGTAAAAATTTAAAAAGTTGAAATTTAAAAAAAAATATTTAAAAAATATGAATTGGACAGTTCCTGCTTCAAAAGGCACAACGCACATCCTTCGGACATGGTTCGTAAATAAAATGTTTTAATAAAATGAAATGTTTTCCCTACCTACCTACCCTATTTGTTTTCGGCATGAAACGGTAACCACACCTATATTTTGTTTTGGCCTTACATATCATCACACCTCTTCATGTTAACCCGTCACAGACACACTCCAAAATACTGGACACGCGACGAATTAAAGTAAACTTCCAAATATCACTTATGAGCGATTTTCTTTGGTTTGTGGTATTCAATATTAGGACTTTATTGCCATCCCAAACGTGCTCTTCTTACGCTGCTGCTTCACACCAATTAAACTGTCAAAAAATATACATACCAAGGGCAGTGGTGATCCATTTTTAGTATGCACCTGCAACGGACAAAATAGATAAATATCGCTGTATCAGAGTGATTGACTTTTAATCATGAGCAAAAATATGACAAGTGCTTTCACATATCTCAAATTCTGTTTGCATAATTATGTTGTTGCTTCATACCTTCCACAGACGGAACAATGATGACTCCTATCAGGCTTCAAACACTGGCACTTCTCGCAGTATCGGTTGCCTAGCAACAAGATGGCAGCACGTAAATGACGTATACCAAAACAAAGGTCTTTGAAATCTCTGTTTTCAGTTATTCCTTATTATTAAGTTATTATTAATTCATAGTTTCATGTATCCAGTGTGAATTTAGAACCTGCCCATTTCGTTAATTTACTATAATCTAATGCTTGCGATCTATGCAGGCATTCATTCAGTAGTCTGTAAACCCCAGCAACCTCAGGAACCACGAGTAGCGCTAGACTCACAGCCATTCATTGTCCTGCATAGAATGGGCAACTTCTTAGCAGCCTTGGCAAGTATTTGCCTCTGTACATCTTCAGTCTCTGCATTTTCTAAATCGTCAACATCCACAGCTGACAGATAAAACTGCAAAGCGTAAAAAAAAATTCCCCGTTAACACACAGAGAATTAATTTTCTCCGCAATTATTCACAAATTTCCACTATTGTACAATTTTAGCAGATCACCTTGGTTATGAGAAACAACAATTAAATCATTGGTTGGTCTGGGGTGGGCTGGTGCACTTACCTGACTTGGTACAGGAGCAGGTTCAGTAAAGATGGTCTGGTAATACGACCATACAAATATCAAAAATATCAGATGAAAAAACATAAGGTAGAGAGCTGAAATGTAGGAAGCAAAAAATCATTAGTAGAGTTAGTTTTATAGCTGATATAATAATAATCCTGCTTTTAACTCCATCTCCTTTCTAAAGAAATACTGAACTCTAATGGCAACACCTTTCATCGTTGCATATCATAAAAAACTCTGGTGTACTGTGCCTGTGGTAATCATGTGAATAAGATCTAAAAAATATCAACCATATATATATATATATATATCAGGAGTGTATAATAGGGAGGAGTGTGACAACAATAAACAAGGGAAATTCGTCATTTACTAGCCTTATAATACCTACGATTTACTACGCGTAACTCATCCAACTTGAGCTCAAATCGGACACAGTACATTCGCC